CATTTCTTTATGCTCGCTTACGCCTGTGTGTGTATGCATGTATGCATGTTTATATGCAAGAATGTATGAATGATGAATGCTTGGCTGTGTATGTGCGTGTATTTATAGTCTAAACTTTTCGCATTTGGTTTGGCTTCAGTTTACTTTAGTTTAGTTTAGCATTTGGCTTTGGCTTTGGCTTTATTTTATTCTATATTGTCTTGATGCCGCCGACGTTTGACGTTAAACTGATTCGATGTTTCGGATAGCGCTTTAGTCGAAACTGAGCATCGAAAATTTTTCGCCGAGCTTGATTTATTTTTTTTTTTCTTTTTTTCTTTTTTTTTTTTTTTTTTTTTTTTTTTGTATAGTCACCCATTCGGTCCGTGTCTGTACCTGCTTTATTCAAATACATATGTATGTACCTATGCATATATTAGTGTGTGTCTGTGTGTGCGTGTATGTGCATGCTGCTTACATACATATAGGCAGCTTAACTAGCCTATATAGACTATATACTTGTACTTGTCGCACATATGTGGTTGCATATAAGTACGATTGCATGCTGACCACACACACACACGCATACACATATGCATACATGCATAGTATGCCCGCAGCTCTGTTGTTGTTCTTGTTGTTGTCGTCGACTAGTCTCCAGTTTCCTCACATCGACGCGATTTGACAGCGGCATTTGAACAATTGAACAGCATACAATCCTATGCGGCAAAGGTCATGTCATGGTACAGCGACCAACTAATTATGTTTATTTTCTTTTTTCTCAATAGCTCGTGCCATCAAAGAAAGTTATTTATTGGGCTATTTTGATTTGGGCTTGGCTTGTTTTGAAAAAAAAATGAGAGAGAAAAAAACAACAGTTAGCTAACAGTTACCTAGAATAAACTGTTTAATTGAACTACTTTTAAGTTTTTAATTAGACAAATATTATATTATATTACACATATGAATATATGTATATTACTAAATTTATTATTGATGTTAGTAATGCACTCATAACCTTATGTATGTATATATGTACATATGTATGTATGTATATACATATGTGGGTCTGAAAACTAAAAATTATACTATATCAATATAAACGGTATACCTAGCAACAAAAAAAAAAAAAAACATCTTGACCGAAAAAACTTGTCAGAAATTGTGAGAACATCAAAATATTGAATCTAGCATCGTTTACTTATGCGAATTGTAAGATTACGTGGACGAAAGAACATAAAGATAGATAAGATGAACTAAAAAACAAGTACTAACTTAGCAATCGACTACCACCGACTGCAGAATACCGTATCTTTTCATAATGCAGAATTTGGTTTACTAAATACGACTTCTTATAGATATCTATATAAATCTATCTATAAAAATATGCCCGCTTGCCCCACTGCACAGTGGTCGGTCTTGCATGAAATTAGCGGCCAAAAATACTTCTGCGACTAATATCAAAGCGAAATTTATAGGTTTTTAAAATTATAATAAGAAATAAACAAGAACATTTTCATATATAAACGCCACTACCCCCTACCCGAAATAAATAAATTAAAAATTGTTGATAAGTGAATAGAGATTTSTTATATTATTGAAGTAAATTAACGACAGATTTCAATAGAGTCGAATTATTTTTGCATGGTAACTTTCATTGACCACTGATTAGAGGATCTGAGCTCATAAGTAATCTGTTCAATTTGTAGCTACTCGGAGAAGTTTTCGTGTTGATTGAGGCGAAGCATCTTAAAGTCTATATTCCTTGCCTCAGCAGCTTCTTCAGAGAGCTCACCAATTGAAAGCAATGCATATTTTATAACATCAGAAGCGTGAATTAATATTCTATGCCAGTGCATTAGGAAGGTAATGCCAGGAATAGTTTACTGTTAGCTCGAGTATCTAGCGATAATGCTCTAAATTTGTCCGCATTAATAATGATGATGATGAGGCTTTCAGTAATGTAGCGGCCGATATGTGAGGATACTTAAAAAAAATGTTCTTGCAGTGTTCCCATCATTTTAAGATCTACTTCCACTTGTTGACAATTAAACCCATTTTATTACGAAACTCGCGCCTTTTATTTACCACAGTCCCATTTCGAGTCTATAGGCAACATGAAGAAAATATTTGAAATATCTTATGTAATGGAGACAATCTAAATTCGTACATCTTTTTGCAAAGATTTTTCAATATCATTCATCTCAAACAGAAACGCATATGACGATCAAAACACAAATAATGAAAGCCCAGAAACAAATTAAGCAGGTACATACACCCACATACATAAGGTAGAAAAACAGAAAGGGAGGCGAAAGGCGGCAGCTAAAATTGAGACTACAAACTTAGAAAACATAAAATATAAAAGTTATTTTACAAAATTCACTTAGTTATATAGTCTTAACCTTCTCTTTCAATATTCATAATAATTTATAATAATTAGACACGATTTAATATTAAAATGTAATTTTGTCGTCAGAGACCACTTTTCAGCTTCGTTCACTGCAAAGGCCACGATTTTTATTATTATTATTTATTATTTTTTGTTTGTCTAGTTTTTGTTGCTATTTGTAGCGTGTGCAAACGAGATGTAAAAATTAGTGTACAGTGGGTTTAAATGTTATTTTAAGAAATGAAAATAATGCGTAATGTTACAAATTAAAAAAATCAATTTTGCATTTTTGGCCTATGAAATCGACCACTGTGCGCTGCTAGCGAGTATTATACAAAAAAGAGATTGATATAGCAACCGAAATGAGGCGCCTCGACTAACAAATAAAGTTTTCCTCGTCCCTCTCCCCGTGTACAAAGCCAATTCATTCTTATCACATCTCAGCGGATCTTAGTTTGCCTATGCAATATGTGCCCCCATTCATTAAATATTCATTCATCTTATCGGGGAAACATGTCTGAATACTCCAAGAAAAAAAAATGAAGAAAAAAGAAAACAAAAAATTCGTCATCTCCCAAAAAAGGGAAAATTGGAAGAAAAAAATAAGTATACGTAAAATATATTTTGTTACTAGCATACCTCTCCCTCTTTTCCCAGTCTCTGTCTGTCTGGCACATGTGTTTGCAAATATTTATATTACAGTTAATCAAACAGAAATCTTGACAAACAGGACAGCTTAAAAGCTATACAAAAATATGAAATGTGAACAAAAAATTATGCGAGATCATTTTATTTGTTTTACCTTTTTATGCGCTTATCTCGCTCTATTCATGATGAGTGTCTTGAAAGACCTAAGCATTACGTGTCCCATTGGACTTCATCGAAGTTCCATGGGTAAGCAGCAAATGGTTTGATTTCCCAATTGGGCGTACGCAATTCTAATTAGAGAAATCTTTGGCTTTGGCATGCTTATATAGAGTCTGACTGATTGACTGCCCCTCTGAATAGATGAAGCGACAATTGCGTGGTGATTAATAAAACAACTGATTGATTAACTAATTAATGACTTGTTTAGCTGATTAGAGACGGCCCAACTGATTGATTAAGATCATAGCTACATAACTAAGTGAATAATGGGCCGAAATACAGTTTGAATGACCTAATGATAGTTTGACTAATTGAATTCCTGATTGATTTGATTGAATGACTTCTGAATAACTGATTGATTGACTGATCGAATAATTAATTGCTCAAGCGACCGATTAGCTGTTTAAATTCTGAGTGACTGATTGATTGACTGGTTGATTGGCTAACTAATTCATTGACTGATTGACTGATAGACTGCTGATTATTTAACTCATTGTCGGACAGATTTGATCTTCTAACTAATTAATTAACTGACTGACTGAATTTACCGATGAACTAACTTACTGATGACTGATTGATTGATTGAATGATGTCGAATAATCCACTTAATCCACAGTAATAGCTTGACAGATTGAATAATTGAATTACTGATTGACCGATTAATTGAATAATATTAGTATTACAGATTGATTTTGTGAATTGATTGAACTGAACTGATTGATGAACTAACTTATTAATTAGACGATTGATTGATTGAATGATTATTCCAACAATCCATTAATTCAATGACTAGCTGACCGATTGACTGATTTATTAACTGACGGGCTAAATATTAAATGTTTGCATGGATCTCTTCATATGGGTCAGAACCGAGCTTTGTTACGACTTCGTGAATGTGGAAGCAATAGAGAGAGATTTGGACATTCTTTATAGGCCCAAATATAGATACAAATATGTCGTGATCAAAGTTTTTAATCATACTATAGACAAAAGAGCCCATACCTTATATATTTAGGTATGCAACTACATACTTATTAAATAGAACACGCACAGCTGGCACGAAAGCTCTCAAGATGTTCTCTAATTGGCTTTAACTTATACTTTATAGAAATATATGTGTCA